GGCATGAACACGTAGGGGAAAAAGTAAGGGATGACTTATACTCAAAGACCAACTCAGAAAAGATGATTTTGTTTTGGGGTTAAACACTGTAACCATCTTGCCAACAATGAAAAATTATCCAAAAAAATTATTCGTTCACCACGCCGGGCTCGGGAAAATAATACTTTTCATAACACTTACAAAGGAGAAACAAACATGTAAACATGCATAAAAAACATACACATTTTATTACAATACAATTCACATACCGTCTGAATTTATGGTGAAATAAACCCTAGGCCTTTCATGATAGTCTCAAAGTAAACCATGCCCAATAACCAGGTACACGACTTAACGATCACATTTTTGGCTTTTCGAGTAAATGACAGAATAGAAAGGATGTGAACCACGTTGTGTACGTTCGCCATGCATTCTGAAATTAATGCGAGTTTTCTCACAAAAGCATGAACCAAACTACCATGCCAACCACGATTATTATGAACTGAAACACATTTTTTACACGCAACGACATATTTTAAAGAATATCGTTGACGTCCAGTAAAAACACTCTGGGCTCATAATCGTGAATGCCCTTAACTCGATAAATACCTAGTAAAAATAGAGGGATGTGCTTCATACTCAGGAAGGGCTTACGATCGGGGAAGTACGGTACTTTAACGCAATTGGGCTTCCACTCTCAGAATACTGTGGTCAGATACTAAAACATCATAGCTTTGAAAAGTACCCGGATGTTAAATATGTTCGTTCATTATTTATTCCCCTCCATGAATGGCACTTCAAATGCCTATCCAAGCTACAGTTATAATTAAAACAAAATTAAACCACTGCAATATTATTTCAAATACAGTTTAGAATATACACAACTATAAATTAAGGCCACATTTAGGTTTGCTTTAACTTATTGGTGCCTGTGGTAACATTTCATTATATATCATTTTGTTTGGTTAAATATGGGAAAAAATGATATGTAGTTTTCAAGAACATTCTGATAATTGATATTAATTTTTTATGAAAAAAAATGTTTCAAAAATGTTGCATATGCTTAAAACATACTGTAGTGCAGAAATCTACCCACTAGTGCCCAGTAGACAGAATTTCCGACCACAACAAAAAGTTGCTGACCGGCAATAGTTGTGTTCCCGAAATACGGGCTAAGATTTAAGCTGATTTAGGCTTATCTAGCATATTTGCATTTCGGCTTGACCTAATTGCGTCCACGCACAGGGAGGACCAGTTGTTAGCACGGGCTAAGGGGCACCATCAGTCGGTGACCTTTGGCAAGCCGCTATTTACGAACGAAAAATGGATGACAAGCGCGAGGTTCTATTTCTGCTGCTGACATGTTTCGTTCTAATTTTGAAGCGACGTGCACAGGAACGCGAGAGAAGACGGACCCAACTTATTTGGATGCACAGAAACAGTATACAACGGCGTAACAGAATACAGAGTTTTATTAATGCATGTCGTAGACAGCGAACCAAATTTATTTTGTTTACGATTGGAGCTGCTGTACGCTCTACTACAGCGACCCGTATGGAAGCGTGTACACTGAGCTCAGTTGCCATTTTGGGACTGAGAAAATTGGATATATTTGATCACGTGCATAATGTTCACACCCAAAGATCGCTGCAGAGGGCGCTTAGCCCTGGGCTAAGCGTTCGCGCACACTTCGTTAGCCCGTGCTAGGGTCTAGACTGCATCTTAAATTCGGAATTAATCCGTAATTAGCATTCCTTAGCCCGTGCTAAGCATTCACGCACGTTTGCTTAGCACAGGCTAAGGAGTTTGACCTCTTAGCCCGTGCTAAGGAGCTGTGCGTGAACGCAACTAATAACACTACTAGTAATCTGATATCTCTGCAACATCAAATACACAAAAATTAAACCTACTGATTTCTTCTCTCACAGCGTTCATTGTTCATAGTTTGGAAAAGTTGGTTGAACTATAAACCAATTGTACCTGCTGGCATATAAATAATATAATCCTTAATTTGTTTTTAATGTTTTGTTATGTTTTTTGACATTGTGCGAAGATGCTCATTTATCAATATCCTAATTATTTTGATTCAAAATATTCTATTCTATAAAACCCTTCAAAGATGAAGACAAAAAGAAATTATAATCAACGTGCTAGACTGCTTTTATTGAAAACATTTTTTTTTTCAATTGTGTGAATGGTTTACTTATGGTGATCTATTATGCGTGGAACAAAAAGAAATCACTGAATTGAAGAGCCGTTCGTATAGTCAAAGCTCACTTCTATAAAAAGCAATTATTTTTTTCTCATTAAGTATGACCCTATAATAGTTTTTTATCATTTTACTTAGCAATTTAATTTCAAGTTTTTAAATTTTGTTTTCCTACTTTACTGTTGTATTTACCTAAGTGTTATTTTTTAAATAAATTTATTATTATGAGCATGAAGTAAAATTAACTTTTACATATAAAATTATAAATAAAGAATCATATACCTTGTAGTTTTTCTTCGTAACCTTTGGTGAAAAACATCAGCGCCTTGGCCGCTCTTTCCGGTGTCTTCTGTAGCCCTTGCCTGTTCGGGTCTTCGCCGACACTTTTTAATAATGAACGATAGCTGTCTTCCATGGTTGGGATCTGGGCATCAGAATCTTGCCTCGGTATAGTGGGAAGCCCCTTATCGCGATCCACAGATCGTGATCTACCGCGGTACGTTTCTTCGTCAGGGTCGAAAACACCACTTTTGGATTGCACCAATTTCCGCGCTTGAATGATCAAGTCCTTCTCTACCTTGTTGGTGTCCACCTCTGACGAATGCCTGTTGTACTCTCCTCGCTTGCCCTCGGTACTCATGATGTTCGAATCACTACTGGCCGATTTAAACTGTTCAATGGGGCGTGGGCGAAGGGAGGAATAATCGGCTCTTGTATTTATAGTTTGCTCCCGGTGAGGATCATACAGGCACGCCACGGCCACTCAATACTAACGCCCGGCGTGTGTGTGATCGAATGTAAACAAATCAAGTTTTACGCCGGTTTTATTTCTCGAACAGTTTCCGCTCTCGCAAGATGCGAGACGTTTTCTCAAGAACGGACCTCCCAGACACACAAGAAAATGTGGGATTCGTAATTTTATCTAAAAGAAAGTTCATTTTTGCAAAGTGATATTGTATTTCTATATAAAGAAAGAAAACGACAAATTACTAGTAGAAAATTGAAGCAAGTAATAAATTCATACATTTTATAATAAATGAAGAGGGCGTACTTTTCACTTAGCTAGGGAGTCACTTGGAGAAGACAGGATTATTCGAATGTTGGCGCACTTTGCTATACAACTTACAAGCTGTTTGATGTTTTTGGTAAATATTTGTGTCACATTTACTTAAATATGCAGTTTGCACATATGTATGGCAATACCTATTAGTAATCTCAGGGGTTTACACCATTGAATATTTGGACACCATAGTTTATGTTGTTTACATTGTTAAAGGGGAGGAGTCGTCACCTGCGAATGCGTTAGTTGGCCATAGCGTGTCATTGTTTACAAACAAGCGTCTACGCATAAACCTCTGCGTTTTTAGCGCGTGTTGTTATCGTCGCTTGGGACTCAATTCCCGCGTGTGCGCAGGTGATGACCTACCTGCTTCAAATCATGTGAGTGAATTTGCTATATTGGACAGTCATGCTAATGTCACTATTATTTGAAGGATTACAATTTGAGTGAACTATAACAGTTACATCATCACCCAATCACAGATAGCTATCCTATATATTTATACTCTCAGTGCAACAAAGGCACTACTTTCATCTTTGTAAATATTTATAATATTTTCAATTGCAGTTGAATCCAATCATGCAGCCAAAAAAAAAACAAAAAAAAAAACAGCCAATCAACAAGCACAGTGCGCAATAATGTCTTTTGAAAACATTTCGATATTATTCAATTGGCCAATAGAAACCTTCTCATTTCTGTATCAATATTGTAAACTATTTATAAAGATAATGGTAATTCTATTGTTGCACGGATAGTATTCAGATATTATAGGTTTAATGTCATGTGTGCTAACCTCCTCTCACCAAACACAACTTACCTAAGAATTATGTAATGTTCAATGTTTGATGGTGTTCTGATGTGGCACGAGCAGCAACTTAAAGAAAAATATCTCTACGACTGTACAGACAACAAATCACTAGTCTGGTGTACATTGTAGACCAATATGAATGGGCAGTTCTTCAATTCAAATTTTGATTTTGTGACACAGATTTTTCAACATCAGTGTCTGCATCGCAACTGTGACTGAGAAAAAAGTTTCTAGTAGAATATACAAAACATGTAAACATCAATGCTTGTGTACTCAAAAGTGACTTGGCTGGGAAGGGACATGCCGGTACAAAATAAACCCGCACACAACCATCAAACACTGACACTTTGTTTAAATTTTAAAATTTATGGCCTTTAGAAACATTTATTGTGTGTTTTAATCATAGGTGAACAATTCATAATAAGTTTATGTATCCCGAATAACTAATTACCACGATGAACAGATGAAATGGGCTTTCAACGTTGTTCCGTGCAAAAAATGGGTACACGTGGCATACACGCTCCTACTTGTGTTTTACAAGTTAATGAAATACACAATGTTTACACTAAATTTGTTACAAAATACGTTTCAAATATTAGCTATCATCTTACCGAAAGTGAATTCAGAAACGTGGAAAGTAGATGGGAAATACTGCACGGGTTGTCGTCCCTCAGTGGTTTCAAAGCGATGCTCACGCCGCAAATCTCAGTGACCAACTGACTGGATGTCAAGTTGAGCACCACTGCGCATGCGCAAAGTAAATTACAAGGCTATTTAGAATGTTAATGCATTTGACCTGTCACATAAAGACACTACGCACAAGAGATTAATAAGTAAGACAATTTATTAAAACAAGCCAGCAATGAGGAAATAAAATACATACATTGAAATAACTACTATTGGAAAAATACACAATAAAGAAAAATTGAGCAGGGGGAGAGGGTCACCCATCAAAACTTCCACTGGTGATCATTGGGCAAAGGTGTTCATAAATTGCCATGCCATACAAAAGAAATGCCATAAAGTGGGCGTTCGACCTTGTAATGAGGGACAGGATGAAACAGTTAATTAACAGTATGTTTACATAAGTTCAGGTACCTCAGACAAAACAAATCTCACTTTGTGCTACAGTGGTAACACCTCTTGTTGTAGAAGTTATCTACATGATTAGTTACAATCATCGTCCGAATTGCATGGTTGCGCTAAAGCCGGCCATTCATAACCATCCCATGAACCTGTGTGTGGTTGTGTTAGGAAAAACTGTATTTCACTGCAATGGCGAAGTGTAGACTTTGCGCTTATTCACCAGGAATCAAAACAGAAGATCTATATTCGTTGGGACTTTCTCAAAATTTGTTATTCCAACTTTGAAAATTGCTTGTGGGCAAGTGAATGAAGATGATGGAATGTCTAAATATTTGTGCAAACCTTCTTTTAGTAAACTAACAAAACTGTCAAAACTGATAACATATCGACTTGCCCAATCCGGTCTTCGTTGCAACAAACACATCACTTCCCTCAGATACAGCACTAAGCACTTTCTTTTCATGGTCAGTAAGCCTGTTCACTGAGCGAAAAGCTAGCACGTTGGCTGCAATGTAAATCCTGTTGCTGAATGAGCTGTATCATCTTCATATCTACAAAAAGAAAATCCTGTATATTCCGTTATTCATTGATTTGATATTCAAATATGCCGAGAACGCAATTCCAAAATAATCTATGAATAAGCTCAACTCAACAAGAAATTTCTGACTTGACTTGGATAGCTCAGCCATCCAGGACTCGAGAACGCCATCCATCGCAGTCCTGCATCAGTATTGGGAGGTCTTTTAGGAGGCATTCGGTATTTGAGCATGGTTGGACAAAATATGTTTTTACTGGACAACCCACTCGCATGTGACTAGGTCTAGGCATCCAAAGTAAAAGTGCTAGCTATCTCTTGTTTTGAGTGCAGGATATGATGGCTACAAGATCACCATATAATAGCTTTTTTGTAGGGTGCATTCTCCCTGAGATGCTGAAGAGAGATCCACAAGCATACAGTTGTGTAAGTATCATCTAGTTTTGATTCTAGAGATTTGGTGCAATTGCACCATACATCAAGATTGATTCAGCAATGTTACGACACAAGCGGCGCTTTAGATCATCTGGTAGATTTTATTTCCAAACAGCATCTAATCTGTTTAGAGCTGACCATGCCTTAGAAAGTCTATTTTCTATCTTTTTCTGAGGAGGTGATTACACTGCCACTAGTTAGGTGATAAATGTTTATTCTAAGACATACATACCAGTGGTTGCCAGCCTTCCAAAAAACAGAAAATAATAAATTACGCATTTACAAGACATTAAAATGAAAATATGAATTTGAGCCATATCTAGAACTTGTAAAAAATATTAGTCATAGAACAAGTATAACCAAAGTTAGAATCTCTGCTCATACACTGCCAATTGAAAGGTTAAGATACAAAGGCATGCCTTCAGAGGAAAGAATTTGTAATTTGTGTGAAGACAAGGCTATTGGTGATGAAATACATGCATTATTGGTTTGTATTGTAAAGGTAACTAGTCGTACACAATTTATTAATACTTTGTCATTGTATAATGATAGTCTACTAACATTATCAGAACAAAACATGTTCAAACAAATTTTAAGTTCAAATGATGGTTTCATTACCAACAGCCTGGGAAAATTCATCAATGATATTTTAACAGAAAACAAAAATTAAACTTTTAATATTTAACATTTTTTCTAACATTTATTTTATATTTTTACAGTGTTTGTTTATTTGTTGTATAAGTAAGTAATGTATATTGGCCATAGACTATGTATTTTCCATGCATTTTTTTGTGTCAAATAAAATATACTATACTATACTATACTACACTACACTACACTACACTACACTACACTACACTACACTACACTACACTACACTACACTACGCCTCGCCTCGCCTCGCCTCGCAACTATACAGCTTTAAACTTCCACTCCGTAATCATTCACTAGTCCCCGTATGGATGCAGTCCAAAAAGAGGGACTTATGTTGTGACCTTTTTGCGTCCATGTGTCCATGCCTGGACCAATCACAATCTAACTTCACACATACATCACACATAATATTGTACCGTATTTATCCTAGGGTCCTGAACATGGAAAATTTCCAAAAAATAAGGGTGGGCGTTTGCCCGGATATCCCCTGCAAAAAATAATTTGAATTGGGATTTCCTCACCGACAAACACGGCCTATATTTGCGCGAACTCAAAATGAACAAAAATGTCAGGAGTTAAACTGCGTAAAATTATTTCCGGTCTTAACAAATTGCGGATCAACTGTCATACAAGATCAATAAAAATTTACAAATTTACACAGTAAAAATTATAAAAATTCATAGCTGTTTGAAAAAAATTCTCACATCTTTATTTGTACGTTCATTGCCATCTTCGTCAAACTCAAAACCCTCAAGTCCAAGTCGGCTTCACTGTTGCCGTCGAACAAAATCCCTACAGATTTGCCCTGAAATTTGTTGATATCTACTCACACAATTTAGACACTTTTAATCCACGGATTTTGCAGTCTGTCAGCTTGGCACTTTTCATTCATGTCTAATCACAATAAAGAGACAAGAAAAATGGGGTTGCCCTGCTGCGATGGCACACAATGCTTTTGTTTACAGTCTGGCAATCATCTTTGATCGTTATGCATCTGCTTTACTGATTGGCTAAGAATGACATCACTACTAGTGTTTCATCATAAAGGTCAAATCGTATTGTGACATTGCTTTCTTATCAGATGCTTATCAATCATGGTGAAAGTTATCATTCAGCAAGTTCTGGTGGTCTCACTATATGGATATCGCGGTGGGCATGAAATAGGAAGTTTTTTTTTTCTTTATCCAACAACAGAAGAATAGTTTTCATGACAGAAATGCAATAGCAGTGATGAAAAATGGTAAAAAAATTGGACTGCTACAATATTGAAACATTGGTTTAATTGTTGATGATGCTACGGCCGTCCGAGTGTGACACATGCTTGGCGGCTCTCCTTATACGAGTTGCTTGAAGCGTTTTTAAGGAAGCACAAACCAAACGGCCGGCCCTTTTTAGGGCCACGACAAATTTCAACAAGCAGCCTGTCGGCTGAGATAGCTCCGCTGTTAGCAATGAACATTGCACAAATAAAGAACTGAAGATATCATTAGAAATAGAACAATATGTATAGTATCAAATCAATCAGACTTGCTGTTTTAAACAAGAATTCGAAAATATCACTATTTAC